GTTTCTTCATCATAGCATAGCCATACAGATTATTACAATCAAGGTATATTAAATAACTGCTTGGTTCTAACTCGTTAAAATGTGGTAAGTATTTATTATTTGCTTCAGCATGACGTCGAGAACACTGTGCCAGCCCACCGCGAATTCCTTTTTCTAATAACTCATACATTTGCAAGTCACTTATTAACTCCAGTTCAGTGTCAGTATATAGAAGCATTGCATCCCAGCTTAAGCTCGGTGAAGTAACATAATAAGCTGGATCTAACTTATAGTACTGTAAGCTTGTTTCTCTAAATTTTTCGAATATGTCACATAGTAAAAGCACATCACATTTTATGTATAAATCTGTATATTCACCAAGAGATTTAACGTTAAAAACATTCCAAACTGTTTGAGCGTGTAAATATTCTTCATCAGTTATATGCTTCTTACACAAACTGTTATAGAAATGATACTTTGATGGAAGTTGCGTCTCATCAAATTTGGACCAAGAATCGATATAATCATAAGGATAAACACCCTTTTTTCTCATTAGATCAAATTTTCTTTTATCGCTAAACTCTCTTGATAAGTTTAAAAAATCGTTTTCTGATAAACTATCACTCAATGCATCTAAGCTAGAACTAAGAAATTGAAAAGAATCAATAAATTTTATCTGAATAGGATGATTATATTTTTCTGTCTTTATTACTTTCGTTATTGAGAGGTATTTTTCTTTAGTTTTCGGTATTATGTTAATAGTACCTTCATACTTTGCTAACTCTTGAATGAATAAATGTGAGTCATATCCAGACAAATTATGAAAGACGACAGGAATGAATGAACAAACTCTATACATCAAATTACAATGGGAGTGCGCTGCCCCACGGTACTCTGAGGTAATATGATCATGATCTCGGACTTTGTCATTAAGCAATAGTTGTTTACATATGTGACATGTATTCGAGTTCTGATAATTCATCTCTTGCTCAGTTGTTAACGGAGTCATAGACTTTTTATTACTTAAAATTCTATGTATACGTTTAGCGTCTCTTATTAAATATTTAACAAATACTTCCGCACAATCTGTACCTCTGTATGAGACATACTTATTTAATTCATTATTATGTGCACAACAGATATAATAAGCAAAACATGAAGGTTGATGTGTCTTTAGTTTCCGAGTGTTTAAAGAGTTACTTTCATTACAGTCAATTAACATACATTCGAAGTCAGCATAAATGATGAAATTAATTTTCTGCTGCCTCTCAAAATGTTTAAATTTCAATATAGATTTTTTTTCAGGCAAAATAGACAATATCTTAGAACAGTTATGAGACTTGTATCTTGTTTCGCTACTGAAAAATTGTAAACATGCATCACATAAATAAACTTTACCTTTATAATGAGTTACTTGACGTCGTACAAGACGTATAAGATCTTTAATTAAACAATAGTGTCCAACAGTATTGTTTTCAATATATAGTAAATTAAAATGATGTTCTCTCTTATGCTTCGATACATAAAGAGGTCCAGTTACAATATTATTTTGCAAACCATATATATTTACACTCATATTTGGATTGTTTTTCTCAAACTGTTTAATATCATTCATTGTGGGTGGGAATGACATTCCTTCTATATTTAAAACCGAAGAATAATGAGGATATGAACTTGTTCTGCACACGTTATTTTTCGCTGGATATAATCCAGCAACTATACTCCATAGAAAACAACAATCATCTTCATTTTTTATATTAATGCAACTTCTAGAATGTTTAATAGCTGGTGGTAAATCTATATAAGATCCACCCCTCATAGGTGAATACTTATTTATATTAATTTCGAGATGACTCATAGAAACAAACGTCCAACCAGATTGACAGTGTTGGAACTCTGTTAATTTCTCGTTCAATGCATTCATTACTTTAGTTAATAATTCATTCAAATCAGTGTTTTTATAAATAATATTGTACTTGGTATTAAATGACTTTAGCTGCTTTTCTTCTAAAGTTGGTAGCATAAAATATGCAAACAATTCGAAATTAACTTTTATGCAGTTGTGTTTATTTAGTGACATAGTAATCAATTCTGCTATATTGGTTTGGTGATCACTCAGGAACGCCTCTAGACCGAGGTACTCGTCTTCCTGAGTGACATTCAATCTGTATGTCATTATTCTGTTATTGAATGCTGTCGCAATAATATGAATATTTGCGAACTTGGTATTCAATAAACAGTTTGCTTTGTGTATATTAGTTCTCATATGATAGGAATACTGATTTTCTGGAATTAATATTTTACATTTGTCACAGTTTATTTTTCTAGATCTTGACTTATTAGTGAGGTGTGTAGAAGCTGTGAAACAAAGAAAAAAAACAATGATAATAATTATAAAATATAATGAAATAACCAAAAATACATTGAATTACCCTATGAATTAAAGCTAATGCTGGGATAAATGTTATTATATTGTATATAGAGATATAACTATGCATCATGTACCTAATATAAAAATGTGTACAGGAATAATAAATTGATTAACAATAGGTTAAATCGTTAAGTTTCGTAGGATCCTAAGTACGACAGCGGACAATTTTTAAAATCTTTTTGGGTCGCTAAGATGAACTCTTTTATATGGCGCCAAGACTCCTTATCTTCATCCAGTTTAGTTTTTATAGTAGTAATAGCATGCCGCCATCTATTTATCGGCATAATTTTTTTTATTTCTTCGACATCATATATTTTTAACTCGACGTAATATTTTCCTTCTTTCGTCTCACTAATTTGCCGAGAATAGCCCTTCCGCAGCCTTTTCGTAAAATAAGAATGTATAGGTGGGACATTACCCGTTTTGGTAGAGCTCTTAACACATTCATTCTTGTCATCGTCTTCGTCACCGAATAATTCATTGGCCGTAACGCATGCTGGCGGAGAAATTGGGGAGATAGTTGGTTTGGACTTTTTCGAACTAGATCCTTCACTCGACTTGCCGGATCGCTCTCTCTTCATTTTCTTGTCCTCCGACTTCCCCTTCGGCTTCACCTCCGCTTCAGAATCGTCGCTGGAGAGAAAGAGATCGTTGGCGAGTAGCTTCGACCTGTGTATAAATAATATATTATTAGTGCACTGTAATCGATAATTTTATTTTCTACATATGTATAGGTGTTTATGTTGATTAGGTTTCGCTATATCTCTAAATATTTCTATGTATAAATCTAATATTAAAAATTATAAAAATCGATGAACAACAAATACAATGCTTGGTATAGGTACAGACACATAGTCTTAACGTCAAACTAGAATATTCTATCTATGCTACAGAGATAAGAAATAATGATCAGATTAACTATATGTATGTCACAGTTAGACTTGAAACGTTACGAGAATGGAACCCTCGACTGTCCAATCTTTCATAAGCAGTCATAATTATCATTGTGTTATAGTTGAAATAAATTAAAATAATTATGTAACTGGTACTTAGTTTTCATTTTTTTTTTTCAACACAAAGTAGCATATTCGATCTGTGCAGGAATCGAACCTGCATCACAATATTGACGGTCAACATTCGAATACTTGAATATATCAACTAATACATTGCTCTGACCATTTAATAGTTAGATAAATGATTATGAATAGATACTTACATTCTTGATAGGTGTTTAGACAGGTAGCTTGATCAGGAGCTCGGAGAGTTGATCCGTTGTAGAGAGGATTCGTACCAGAGAGGAATTGTACCGGAGACTAATTTGCTATGCGTTTTTATAGGCCTAAAATCACATCATTCAATCCAAATTTGTAAAACTGCATACTTGCAAAAATTGCATACACGAGCGTACAAATCTGAGCGGTTAAGGTTTTAAGCTTAGTGTTATTATATAAGATGGCTTTTACCCATGGCTTCGCCCGCGTTAGTTTTAAATTATCCCACGGGAACTTAATACTGAGATAAAAAATCCTATGTCATATTCCGGGTTATGGTCTATCTGTATGCCAAGTTTCATCGAAATCGGTTAAGTAGTTTTAGAGTTTATTCGTTACAAACATACAAAAATACAAATCTTTCCTCTATATAATATTAGTGTAGATTATTATATGTATAGATAGATAATGTAGACGGATGATGAATATAGATACTTACTTAAATAAACAATAGGGGAATTTCATATTTAGAAAAAAAGTTTGAAGATTGTTGTTTTTTACTGAATGTTTTTGACGTCAGGCGACGGTACAAACGCTGCGGTTTGCACGCTCGCATGCAACTTCTAGACATGTGGAGGAATGGAGATATGACTAGTCAGAATCTCATATTTCGGTATGTAAAAATAAGCTTGTATTTATCTTATAATTTTTTCACAATTACTATGATAACTTATTTGTTTTTATGAAATATAGAAGAAGTTGAACAATTGTATGAAAACGTAAAACGTGTCGATGCTCACTAATTGTAGGTACCTACTACAATAATAATCAGATCGATTAAGTAAATCTTGTGTTTTATTCCAGCATAGAGGTACATCTAAGCTATTAAAAAAATAAATTAATAACAAAAAACTATTTATTTTTAATCTTTATAATAATAATAGCAGGTAAAACCAGGCTTAATAATTGTATGTCGATATTGATCAATTGTTATGATCCGTCTCCTTAAAAAGAATTCAGCTACGTTGCAAATTCGCTAACGCTGATATACTATTAACATACCATGATTTTGCTTGCCAAATCATTTTAATAAAATGTATGAAAACAATAACCGTGAACAAAAATACAGTAGTATTATTTTGTCGATATATATTTTCGATAAACAATAAAATGTTAGGCGTCGTAATGTCTGCGGTTTCAATTTCACCATACCATTTTTGTATAGATATTAACATCTAACAAAAATATACGATATTGAACTCTATGTATTAAAAGAAATAATTAAATTTAAAAATATAAAAGGGGGATATAATAAATTGAAATCCATTTCATCTTTGAATCTGATGGTGAAGACTGAATCAGACTGATATAATTGCGGAATGTCGGTAAGTGTTACTTTAATACATTCACTAACAATTTAAAAATGTATTAATATTAACAATAGTAGTAAGTAGCATCACAGCATTAATTATTTCCACATAAGCCTTTATTTCAATCGTAACGTTTGTAGTGTAACTTAAATTAATATTGTATTGTTATTTCAGGACTCGGAGGATCTCTTCAATTTTGTACCCATGAATCAACCAGTCCAACAAACCACTGGACAGAAGACGCTGGGTCTCGCTCGCAAGAGATCAAAAACAGATCAGACATTCTATCAATTTATAAAGAAGCCTGTTTCTCGTGGAACGAAAATAATAAAAATAGAAATCTATGATACAGACAGTTTTCAAAAATCCGAACAGCCGATGTGTAATTGTGAGGCTGATGTGTGTGTTCAACATGTTGTGAAAACTATATTATACGATGATATATATACCAGTACGAGAGAATTAATTGCCAAAATTCAGGATGACATCGAACCAAGAGTATAGATTTAATAATTTAAAATGTATAGACGTTACCGTTTACCACTTATGTATGTTTAATTTTCTAAAAAAGTTTATGTAAATAATTATAAGTGTACCTATGTAGTAATGAATAGATATCAACTATAAAAATATCAAAAATTGTATATTTAAAATAAAATAATTCAAAATATCATTTTTTTATTGCTAACTCATTCTTATACATGTAATAAATAGCCACTGCACTACGTACCTAGGTATATAAGGCAGCGCAATGGACAATAGCGAGAGCATTCCATATTATCATATTCAATAAGTATGATCTTTTTTATGAATATTACTGCCATGCCTGCTATCTTAAAATAATATGTGAATAGAAGATTAAAATGTGGAAAATAGGGTATCCAGATCTCTGATCTGGATGCCCTATTTTCCAACTACTAATCGCCACCATGCTGAGGGTGGTTAAAATAAAGTCCAGTCCTGAGCCCATGCACATATATGTACTATATGGCACGAAAGCACAAAAACGCAGCCCACAAACAGTATGGAAGGAGTAGCAATAAAATTATAGGTGTTAATTAAATTTCTTCTTATGCCGTGAGTGCGTTTACAAACATATAATTTCAAATACACACCCAGATTCGTAACAATAATTTGCGGATCACACAAAGAGGTGTTCCACGAACTTGGTCGCCAGCCTCTTCAATTGTGTTTAACATGTCATTAGCTTATTATTTTCTTATTGCATCGATTATTATCACGTCGCACAACAATATCTCAATGATTTTCTTATCTGCTTTTGTTTTCATAGTTTTCGGCTTCGGCTTTCAAATTTAAGCATCCACATTTATGTAGTTGACCATCAACTGTCTACATATATCACATCCCCGTCCTAAATGTAACAACACTAAAATTGTTTTACAACATTTTATCACACAACGTCCTAGATCTAAATAAATGAAATTTGTTTTAAATTTTTAATGTTTTTACAAAACAACTCTTAACAATACGAGTGTTGTTTTGTTTTGCCTCGAATTGTTGAGTCGAAATAATGTTTGTTTGTTTGGGAATTTTTAAACAAAATCTTTTGCGGCCTGTGTCTGTTGTTTGAGAATATTTTGAAATTGCTTACCAGGCGTGTCTTTAGAAATTTGATCGTATCTATGAATAGAACAACAAAGCATTATGTTTTGTTTGCAAGTAACAACATTTAAAGCGTTTCAGTGCAAAAAAACAACAAGTTTGTTAAGTATTATAATGGTCGGAACCTTTAATATCACACAACTTGTTTTCGAGACGTCATAAAGTTCATTCACTTATTCTGTAATCCGAACACTCAAAACAAGATCTATATGAAGTGAAACTGTTTGATAACTATCACTCATTGACAACATTAACGAGTTAAATACTTGTGTACCTAGCTTCACTGACGAACAGACTGACAGACTACTATTCTATTTTGACGATTAAAAAGTACCTATTTATGGTATAGGCTTTCTGCCCCGCACAGCCAAACTTTCTTAAAAGGCCGGCAACGCACCTGTGACTCTGGTGTTGCGGATGTCCATGGGCGGCGCCGATCGCTTACCATCAGGTGATCCGTCTGCTCGTTTACCACCAATTCCATAAAAAAAAAATAGTTGACTAGACTTTGACTTTGACTTTGTAACGTGTGCGTGCTGTGTTTATGGGCAGCGCAGATTGCTTACCATCAGGTAATAACTCTTTATTTTCTTTGTTGTAGAATGCAGAGGCTTCGTACGACTTCAGCAGCAACGATCCGTTTCCCTATCCAAGATACACGGATGATTGGTTTAACAGGTATGTAAACATAATGTATATTATGTATGTAGGTATGAATGAATAAACTGAGACCCGTTCCAGCTTCCCACGGGTGCCAAGCTAATACTTATTTACTCCACTATTTAATGGATGTTGTCTACATATACTAATATAAAAAAGAGGTAATTTTTATAAGTTTGTACATATGTAGAGGGTAACTTTTTTTACCTCTTTTTATTCTTTGGGTTCTTTCACTTGTAAGAGTAGTAGCGGGTGAAACCGCCCGAGTTTAGTTATACATAAAACGATATCTGTTCAATCAATCTATGTTTTATAAATCGAATGGAGAGGTTCATAGTCGGTAAGACTCTGAGAGTCCTTACGCGTCCCGCTGGTTTAGAAAAGCCATATGATGATTATTCCCTCACGAAAATACTGGGGCCAATGTATACCAGTTGACACGATAACAATGTGGATGAAAAACAAAAATATTTTATAAACGGAAAACATGATTTAAGATCTTATCTTCTAGATTAGTCTTCGAAAGAACCACTAAATAAAATCTTTTCAAAACGTTATTTTCTAACTTTCTTTCCGAATCAATAATAAAACGAAAAACAGTAGCGCTAATTAGACTTACGTAATTGAATAAATATATATTTATCACCATTGATTATCCCTGATTACCACGAATATGTGACGGTAATATCGAATTAATGATAAACCAGCAGAATCAACCAGTAATATGATTTAATACGGAGAACTGTGGTTTGCCACAGGAATATATTAAACGTTAAATGTCAGTCCACCGCAAAACTTTAATAAAACAAATTGGTTTAGATTAATTTATTTGTAATTACATTTGAAAAGCGTTAAATTTATATAATTTGTATGTATCTGTATTTGCCCGTTTGAAGAAAGTAATCGAAATCACGTGTTTTTTTAATCTTTCAGGTAGGTAAAATGGAATTATCTACATATTTTAATAGGTACTGTTAGTCTCAGTAGTTGACCGGCAGTCTGGCAGGGCTAAGTGAGATGTGAGAGAATCCTCCTAGACTACCTAAACTAAAAACCAACCGGTTCCTCTTCCTGCTGTACCTTATCACGCTTGACTCCTAAGTCCTGGTCGTTTGCTGTCCCCAATCACATAAAAAAGTGGTCTTTGCTCTGATTCCCAGATAGGACAAAGTAAGTTTATCTTGTTAATAAGAAACAGAGTTCAGATTTGCATGGAACTAATGTAACGTTACTGATGAATAGTCCAAAGCCCCGTATTACCAAATCCCCAATCACCTAATTTACCCATCCCCGTTTAGTAGTTTGCCGCGCTATACGCTACCATAAAAAACAATTTTAGGAATTCTTTATAAATATTCAACAAAAACTAACTACACAGTATTAACAGCTATTAGTTCAGGCTCCATAATTCATAATAATATGAAAAGGTTACACATCAACATAATTTCAATTTGTATACAAATAAATTGGCAAGATATAGATAGAGATAGAGATAAAGATAGAGATAGAGATAAAGATAGAGATAGAGATAGAGATAGAGATAGAGATAGAGATAGAGATAGAGATAGAGATAGAGATAGAGATAGAGATAGAGATAGAGATAGAGATAGAGATAGAGATAGAGATAGAGATAGAGATAGAGATAGAGATAGAGATAGAGATAGAGATAGAGATAGAGATAGAGATAGAGATAGAGATAGAGATAGAGATAGAGATAGAGATAGAGATAGAGATAGAGATAGAGATAGAGATAGAGATAGAGATAGAGATAGAGATAGAGACAGAGACAGAGACAGAGATAGAGATAGAGATAGAGATAGAGATAGAGATAGAGACAGAGACAGAGACTTTTTACTTGCAATAAACTAGTGCTTCACTGCAATCGCACCTGATGGTAAGCAGTCATGCAATCGTTGATGGTAAGGCGCACTAGTTTATTAAAAGCCTATTCACTAGCCTTGAAGACACCTACATTGTACTCGGACGGAAAGACTCTGCGCCTGTGCTCGAGACTGAAGATCTGAGAGGCTTCACCAATCCAGAAAAAAAGATAAAAGATAAAAGATAAAAGATAAAAGATAAAAGATAAAAGATAAAAGATAAAAGATAAAAGATAAAAGATAAAAGATAAAAGATAAAAGATAAAAGATAAAAGATAAAAGATAAAAGATAAAAGATAAAAGATAAAAGATAAAAGATAAAAGATAAAAGATAAAAGATAAAAGATAAAAGATAAAAGATAAAAGATAAAAGATAAAAGATAAAAGATAAAAGATAAAAGATAAAAGATAAAAGATAAAAGATAAAAGATAAAGAAAGGTTGAGGCGAAAAGAAGTGTTCGAGTTGTCTGACTAACAACCACCCTGTTCCTTCTTCTGCTTCAGTCCAAGGTCGAGGTACCGCGGTTTCGGTTGCCACGGCTGAACATCGGCTTTGTTGAGCCCGAACTGTGGTAGTCTATTGGCTCTTTGAAGGCGCGCGGAACGCTACGCGCCGTACGCTCGGGTCGGGTTCTGGTCGGACAGCTACCCTTGCTCGTCGTCCTCAGACCCGCGCTTACAGCGGCCGGATATCGTAGTTCGATCCCTGATGCCCGGTGTCTCTGGACAGAGAATTACGCAGTAATTCATTGCATACTTTTTATAATTGTGAGTGGTTTAAGGAGAAACTAATATAGGTAACATATTTATAGTAGATAGCCGTATTATTTTTGAACTATAAAATCAACCAAAACAAACCCGAGTGAACAAAAGTTTTAATTAAAATCAGTTGTCGGTAAACTATTGACTTTGAAAACATTTAATTTATTAGTTTTAATCGAAAACTAGAATTATTGCCAAATTCTGTATAAACAAACAAACGAATAAACAAACAACTTTCGTATTAACTAACTAATTAATCGAAGTTTTAAAAGAAAAATATTTTTCGTAGAATTCATTAAACAAGCTATGGATGATTTATTTTATAGGCTGAAATATATTTTGTTTACACTATAAAGTACATGGTAATTTGTATATTTGTATATAGATTCGATTTTTGTTTAAAGTTACTATTATGTATTCAACCTACGCGTATTCTATACTTAATAATTATTATAAAGAGGTAAAATTTGTAAGTTTGTATGTAGGGGGTAATCTTTGAAACCTCTGGTGGGATTCCCAAAATTCTTGCACTGATAGATAGCTACAATGTTCCTGAGTGCTATAGGCTATAAAGCATCACGCTACGATCTGTAGGAGCCGAGCAGCGCGTGGAACCGCGCGAGAGTAGCTAGTACATTTATATGTGCGATAATTATTAAAAAACAATGCTAATAATATAGCTATTACAATAAATATGAAAGGACATTTTGTTTGTTAGCTTTTTATCAACGGGGAAAATTCCTAATGTTTTCTCCCGTCCTGGGAGGTCGAAGAGTGGCAAGCTCTTACTGACCACTTTTTGCGCTTGCATTCTCTGTTCATTTGTGTCTAGAAATATTTTTTAAACGTACCCGCAATAGAGATTGTCAATGTCAAAAAAATATACCTACATTGAGTAAGAATATTTATATTTATACATATTAACCAAAGGTTTCTTCTTTTTTAACAGTCACGGCACGCGATGTGCAGGGGAGGTCGCAGCGGCGAGAGACAACGGGGTTTGCGGCGTCGGAGTAGCGTACCACTCCAAAGTTGCCGGTAAGAATTAAATGCTAAAATTCCACCATAAACCTCGGGGAAAGGCCTAAAGGGCCTAAAATACTTGTATAAAGGCAGTCACAAAAACGTAAGTATAGATTTTCTCAAAGGACTTTTGTGACAATTGCGGTCGGATAACTGTGTGACCTCTGGTATTATTAAAAGTTTTCAACGCCAAATCAGGACGTATCTCAATCCTTTGAGAATACTGAAGTCGTCCGTCTCATATATTTCCAACAGATATTCGTATTTTTATCGTTAAATCGATTCTAAAACCGTTTCCTATTAAACTAGAAATAAAAAAAAAATAAAATACGTTTCTCATACTTTAGTTCCTAAGCACGTACGTCGAAGAAATGACTACGAGAAATCGTAGCACGGTTATTGGCTACGACGCTGTAGCCACCGTAGTAGTGACGTCACGCTCCGTAGCGGTTGCGTAGCCTTTTTATTTACTTCATAAAATCTCGTAAGCTTGTCATATCAGCCTGTGCCCTACATAAGTAAGTCTTTCACAGTATTCTCGGGCCATTAATATCGTACCTTTTATTCTAAAAGGGGTAAGTAGGTGTGACTTGGAGAATATTTTTACAAACAATGCAGTTGATCTGTTTTTTTTTATCTCAACTTTGTTCCACATTACACACAAGATTTTATCTTATATCAAGCGTATATATGTATACGGATGTCTTATATCAAGCATATACAAACTGATTTAACACAAAGAATTGTTCCGAACGTAAATCGAACCCACGACATGTAGCATAGCATCCATTATTTAATATGATTTAGCTGACCCGGGCTGCGTATTTATAGCCATATAAATTATTTCAAAAATATGTTTAGGATGAACAACCCTTATCACTAGGTATGAAAAATAGCCAGAAGCCGATTTTCAAACTTACTGAATATGCATATAAAATTTGGCAAAAATCAGGAAAGCCATTTCGGAAGAGTATTGTGACAAGTTTTTTTTTATATATTAGACCAGAATCTTATATATAAGATTTACAATATTCAGTTTAAGGAAATTCGATATTCTCCAAGATTATTATCTGCTTATTATATACCTCTTTTCTTTTAAATTCCACATTACATGGAATAGGTTTAGTAAAATGTGGGTGTTTTGAGCATTTCTTTATACATATATCTCCTGGGAATACGGGGGCGATGATGCCTTGTTATATCATTATAAACATAAGTACACTTTTTGTTTCATGTGCAAGGGTTTTTTTATGGGAACGAACATAATGGTCTGATGGTAAGCCATTGGCGCTGACCTGATAGAAATTCGTAACATTCGAGAAGTTCCCGTTTGCCGACGATTTTGGGAAAGGTTTTTAGAAATTAAATTAGCTGCGAAATAGCGAAATTAGGTTACGGGGAGGGATTGAGCTCGGGTACCTCATTCACACGACGAAACACATCGCTAATTTTCGGTGAAGCCGTGGTATCACTCCGGTCGGGATAGCCGAAACGTGACTCTATCACCCTTAATCGTGCTTATCAACTATTTCGTAATTAAAAAACTAAGTATCTTTTTATTTGTCATTAATAATTATAACCTTTATTTGCGACAGCCGTGGAACTTATCAAAAACTAATATAAATAGTTTTTGGCTTAATTTATATACTTAAAAAAACACAGCTGTTATAATTAAAGGTATCCTATAATAATTATCTCGATGAGACATCTTATTTGATCGCAGTAAGATGTTATTAACCCCCAACCGCCGGCGTAGAAAGATGATATCATTTAATTTGTAATTGGAGACCAGATGGTGTCTATTACTTTTTATTTTGTAGATCATAATTGATACGTATCGGATGCCGAAGGGTGCGTTTCATTGGTTTGAGAGGTTCGAGAGATGTGTTTACACCCACTTTGTAATAGTAATAGTTTGTTATTTTTATGTTTTGTGGGCGTTAGTTATTGTTGTTGGATTTTGGACTTTATGTTACTCGTAAATAAGATTGTGTTGCTGTATATGTATAATCACATTTGGGGGATTTTTAAGAAATAAATAAATATTTATATATTTATAACTTACTCCGTTAATTATATTGTATACCTATATAAAAATTGTAAAATTTATTTACAATTACATAACTAAACACGTTAGTGACGTCATTATGCACAAACACATCAGCTATCATAAATTCAGTGTATTTGTAAGTTTATTTTGGAAATTTCTACTTAGTGGAATAATGGAAATAATGATGGACATAACATACGCCTGCTTCAACTTTAAGAATCACCATTCATATTAGTGTTATTTTTGAGCACAAATTTAGACAGTTTACAAAGAATATATGTAGTATACTCGTATATAACAAAATTATCAATAAACTTCATAACAATCTATTTTAACCAAAGTATTTTGGACCAAACCAATTTTACTTATACAGTAATCAATTCCAAAAACACATTGTCTGTGCCATTACAAAAGCCTCTCCGAACTACATCAACATAATTAAATATTACCCCGAGCTATTTATACCGGGATAAATCGGTCAACAATGGTTCCATTAGCGATGGTCAGCTCGTTCGTCATTTAAGAACAAGGGGTGACAGTTAAATGTGGTGCAACGGGTTAAATATAGAACGGAATGGATGTTTATATGATACTAGTTACTTTCGCACGGTTTCACCTGCTGCTCGCTTTTTACAGATATAGCCTTTAGCATTAAGGAACATTGTAATTCTATCAATGAAAGTGTTTTGGAAATTCGACCAGCGATTCCAACGATTTCCCTCTACATACAAACTCACTTACTTCATTGTAATACTAGTATAAATTCTTTTTTTATAAAAACTGTGTTTTATTTGCACTCAAGCATTTTTGTTGATTTTTCTTGTAGAAAAGAGGTTTAAGAATGAGATTGAAAATTGGTTTTAGGAAAAAAATTATCTAATCTTATTTATTTTTATGTACCTACACAATATATAGATAACAATACAACTACAGTAACTTATAAAAGGAAAAGAAATAGTAGAGAGTGCGATTATTGTAAATATTTTGGCATAAAGAAAATCGTGTTACTTACTCTATTTAAAACACAAGAACGACTGAACCGATTTCTGTGAGAATTAGATAAGATGTAGTTTAAAACCAAAAGAAAAGAATAGGGTTGAGTAGAATAGGTAAGGTAGGTAGGTAGGGTAAGTAGTGAAATGACGGAAGCGAA